TCCCCCTTCCCCTCTCTCCCTCTCTCTCTCCCTCCATTTTGGGCTGGGATCATAGGTGTGTACCACCATGCCTGGCTTTCACACTCACTATTCCCAGCTGAGGGCTCTTTCCCCAGTGAAGAATCTGATTAGCCCAGCTCACCTGGCCACTTCTCCAGACTATGATTTCGCTCTGTGCCCTGCTCATGCCCCTATTTAAAGTGCCTGTATTCCTCTCCCTCAGTGAAAGCTTTCATCAACTTGAAACCAAACTGAGATTGACCCATTTCAGGAAGCTTATCCTGTCCCTACCATGCTGATGATTCTTCTGCAGTTCAATTCCTCAGCATTTAGGGGTTCACACGCTGCTTCTATGTACCCTGTTATTGCTGTGGTAAGCTGAATTTTAAGATGCCACCGTTCTCAAACATTCCTAGCCCCTGGTGTTTACTTAACCATGTCCCAATTATTATTATTTTTTTTTGGCGGAACCGGGGATTGAACTCAGGCCCTCGCACTTGTCAGGCAAGCACTTATTCTACTGAGCTATCTCCCTGTCCCCCCATGTCCCAACTATTAAAACACGTGCTAATCTAGGTTCTATTGTGAAGAAATTTAGTTTGTTTACCTGTTTGTTTGGCAATCCAGGACCTTAGATATGCTAAGTAAGAGCTGTAGGAGATCAATCCCCGGTACCAGAAAAAAAATTAATAAATATATAAAAAGAAAAAAAAGAGCTGTAGGAGATTTAATTGTCTCAAATTATGTAGTTTTAAAATATGGCGATTATTCAGGGTGGGACTAATCTATTTATTTATTTTTATTGTAGTTTTATTTGGGACTAACCTATTTAGAGAAACCCTTAAAGTAGACTGGGGATCCCCTGCAAAAACATTAAACATGTGAGAGAGATCTGATAGAGAAATTCTCTCGCTGACTTTGAAGATAGAGTAGGCCAGGAATATAGGTAGGCTTCTAGCCCTATGACCACAGAGAAATGGATTTGGCCTACAGCTTGGGGTAACTTATTTCTTGCTTGTTGTAACATGTTCAGCAATGATAGAAAACCAATGTACTTGTTTGAAGATCTTTTGTTCATTTCATATTTACATTAATATAATGGAATTTCCTAGATGGGAGGAATGAATTTTTTTTTTTTTTTGTCTTTTTGAGACAGGGTCTAACTATGCAGTTCAGGCTGGCCTTCAGCTCACTTTGTAGCCAAGGCTGGTTTCGAACTCGCAACAATCCTCCTGCCTCAGCCTCCCTAGCACTAGGATTACAGGCCCATGCCACCATGCACAGCTGAGATTTTTTTTAAAAAACATTTATTTATTTGTGTGTGTGTGGCCAGCACACCCCACCAGGGGGCGGGGCTGGCTGGCATGTGGTGCTGGGGGATTGAACCGCGGTCCCTGTGTTTTGCCAAGCTTGTTGCAAGTAGGTGCTTTAGACCACTGAGCCATCTCACCAGCCCAGAGCTGAGTTTTGTTTTTTTTTTATTGAGTTTTGTACTCCCATTCTCACCACAGCCATAATATAGTAGTGATGAGACTTGTCTTAACTGAGCTGTTGGAGATAATGAGAAATAGAAATCCGTGGTCATGAAGGTACCTGCTGTTAAGCAGCAGCTAAAATCACTACCAACATTGAGTGTCCCGTACTGCCTATGCTAAACACAAATTTCTGCACATCAGGTACCTTCTGGACATCTTCACAGGAATATCTCATCACTCCCCAAAACTCAGTAAGTCCCACTCAAAATTTCTTCTTCCAAACTTGGTCCTTCCTTGGTACAATTCTGTGAATGGCACCTTCAAATGTCTACTTATCTCGGGGCTTAGTGCTTCAGCCTTTGTTTACTCCCACCCTCTTACCCCCACATCCAATCTGTTCCCAAGTCCTCTGTATCCACTCCCTCCTCTCCTTTATTGGCATTGCCTAGTTCAGTAGCTCTCATCTAGAATACTATGACAGGCACCTACCTACTTCCCTGGCCCAATGTCCCATCAGCAAAGCTCTAATGATGTCACTGTCCCGCTTACCCACCTTTCAAGAATCCATTAGCTTAGCATTCAAAGCTGTCTATGACTTAAACCTACATTTCTCGTATTTTCTATAATTCTTAAAATGTGTACTTTATCTCCAAAGTTATTTTGGATTGACCTTTAAAACTTGTTTCAAACTGTGGTTGCCTTTACAGGTCCATGTACTGTGACCGCCACCTGCAGCTTTTCCACGTGCACCTTAGCGTTCCTTTTCTTCAGATCCACTGTCCTACCAATTCTCTGCAGTCGGGATATTCTCATACCTTGGGCTCTTCAGCACGTATACTAACCGCTTGGCTTGTTGAACTACCGGGGGAAATGTGGTTCCAGAGCCAAATTGTGAGTGCCCAGAGCTGAACAAAAACATCCTATTCTGTTTGCCTTGAGCTCTCATTCCTTTCCCCAAGATACCCACCATTTTATTCATCTAAGCTTTGACATGAATAAAGCACCTGCTCACTGGCCCAAATGTTAGGATCCAAAACCTGTACGTCATCCCACGAAGAAAAGGGATTCGGCACCCTTTCCTAGTCAAGGCCAATTTTCTTGTTTGCTTTTCCGTGATTTTAACTAGTCGCCTCCCTCCCCCAGTCTCTGGCGTCCGCAGCTGTGGGTACCCTAGACTTCCCGCTTTTTGAGAACTAGTTTTGTTTCCGCTCACTCCTTCTTCCATTAGTTTGGGACTTCAGTCCCCGTCCCCTCCCTTGCCTCTCCCACCTCTGTCAGTGTCCCATTAATAAGTGATCCGGTGTCGAAAGAGAAAAGGGCAGAGAACTTCCCAGGGTTCTAGTGTGCTTTCCTTTGCTCCGAGACGCGCGTCTCCACCTGGACCAGCCCCGCAACCCTTCCTCGGGTTCGCCGGCTTTAATGACCTAAGCAACTTTGGCCCCCCTCGCCCGGCGGCGTCTTGGTTCGGCCGGTCCGGCGTAGCGTTGCACCCCCCTCCTTCCTTCCAGGTTGGTTCAGCCCCCGTCTACTCCGGGGTGGTGCTAAGCCGGCGCCAGACAGACCCTCGACTCCGGAGGGGTAGCGCGGTGCCTCTGGCCGCTCCCTCGTCGGCTTCCTCAGCGTCTTCGTCCTCCTCGGCCGCCTTACCGTCCGCGGGGCCCCGAGACCCTGGTGTATGCCCCACCCTTGACCCTGCTAGAGACATGTCCACCCCGGCTCGGCGGCGCCTTATGAGGGACTTCAAGAGGTAACAGCGTCGGGCGAGGGAGGCCTGGGGCTGCCGGCCGGGCACAGGGCGGGTGCGCCGCGCCGGAGGGCGGCAGAGGGGGGCAGCCGAGAGTGGTCGCGGGAGCCGGACTGGGAGGCCTGTCTGTTTCTCTGAAGGCTGCAGGAAGATCCCCCGGCTGGAGTCAGTGGGGCTCCGTCTGAGAACAACATCATGGTGTGGAACGCGGTCATTTTCGGGTGAGTGCGTCCCGGCGCGCGAGGGCTGGGGGCCGCGGCTCGGGCTGCCCACCGGGGCAGGGCCCGGCGAAGGCGGAGGCTGAGAGGAAGGATGTTCGGGTCTGGCTAGGCCTAGGCCCTCCCCGGAGCCTGTGCCTCGATTAGCTCAGTTCCCGCTGCCGGGGGAACCGTTGTTGGGGGCTCCAGGGGTGGGCTGGGGAGTGGTGGCGCCTGGGCGCGGCGGCCTGCGCCCGCTACCCAGGCGAAGGTGCGCTCCGGGGGCTCTCGGGCCTGGCCGCGGTGCTGACTGAGGCAGTGGCGGCCGACCTGCGGAACAGCCCTGTCCTGAGGCGAGCCAGAGGGAAGGGGCCCCGGGCGCGGGAACTCACTGGTCTTTTTCTGTTGCAGGCCCGAAGGGACCCCATTTGAAGACGGTAAGAGAGAGTTTCTTTACCCACCTTTCAGGAGCCTGACCATCTGGGGAAGGGGTTCCCATTCATCTTGCAAGTACTTGCTGCTTAGTAACCGGCTTCTGCCCAGCCTCTCCTGCTAAAGCTTGAGTGGAATCCAGTGTGCGGCAGGTTTTTCTCTGTAATGTCTGCTTGACTATATGGGCACCTGTTTGTTTGGGTTTGTTTTTCGTGGTTTTGTTTGGTTTTTTTTTAAAGCATTCTTGATGAGGCAGTGACTTTTGAAAAGGAGCGTTGATGCACTGGTGATAAGAGTTTTGGGTTTGGTCTGTGATGCTGCTAAGCCCTTCCCCCATTGACATACTGAGTGAGGATGAAACCAACCAGTTCTTGATAATCAGCAGAGACCCGGAGATCATCTGACTCAGAATTCTGTCCCAAGAGCAGAGATTGTGGTCAGCAGGTGCTTAGCAGGTGTTTATGGAGTGCTAAATGGATCTGCAGTCTGACATTGGATGCCTGTCACTTTCCTTACAACATTGTCTTAAATGCCTGATGTGGGTGCATATTATTTCTTGATTTTAAATGAATATTTCTGTGTGTGCTTTCAAGATTTTACGGTCAGTGGTCTCAAAGCAACTTTAGAGTTGAGGCTTACAACTCCAGTACGCATATAACTTTGGGGTAATTTAGGTGTAACTTTTAAAAACACGTTATTTGCTCTTTAGACACTTTCTATTTGGGGATAATTACAGATTCATGTGTAGTTACAAAGAGTACTAGGGAGACCCTGTATATCCTTTACTCACCCTGCCCCCATACCCTTTCTTACTTGGTAGTTTTGTGTGTGTGTGTGGAACCGGGGATTGAACTCAGGCCCTTGCGCTTATTCTACTGAGCCATCTCCCCGGCCCCACTTGGTAGTATCTTGAATGTCTATACTGCAGTATCACAACCAGGAAGTTGACAGTAATCTAATTTTTAAATACATTCTTCTCTGTGTGTTTTTCATTGTTTTTTGACAGTTTAATACATTTATTATTTTTTTTAATTTTTATTTATTTATGTGTGTGTGTGTGTGTGACCAGCTCAGCCCACCAGGGGGCGGGGCTGGCTGGCATGTGGTGCTGGGGGATCGGATTGAACCGCGGTCCCTGTGCTTTGCCAAGCTTGTTCCAAGTAGATGCTTTAGACCACTGAGCCATCTCTCCAGCCCCACCAGCCCCAGTTTTATACATTTAAATGATGGTTAAAGGTATTTGAACTCATGAAATTCTCTATATTTGAAGTTTTTAAAACAGAAAAAGAGCTGGGCGTGGTGGCACATACCTGTAATCCCAGCACTGGGGAGGCTGAAGCAAGAGGATTGTTGTGAGTTTGAGACCAGCTTGGGCTACAAAGTGAGCTCAAGGCCAGCCTGAGCTGCATAGCAAGACCCTGTCCCAAAAAGAAACAAAAAAAGACAGAGAAGAAATGGATATTTGCATTATTTTTTCTCAATGATTGATCTTCCTTTGATCACATTGCATTTTGCATATATACATATACTCCCTTCAGTTTGAGGGTGGGAACAAAAGCATTTCTGCAACTACTTAATAATTATGTTGCTGAGATGGATTGCTTTTTGATGTTGCCAGTCCCCAAAGTGCTGTGAGATAAGTCAAGATCAACTGACTCTACACTTTGTCTCAATACTGAGATTTCCTTAGGAAACTGTAGACCAGTGGTGGTGACCCTATGGCATGCATGCTGCAATGGGCTGTTTGTTAGCACTGAAAACTAAAAGGTTTGTCATCACTGTCATGACAGTCACCTGACTAGCTTTAGCTTGCTCTCTGTTCCACCCCTGGGTAAATATCACTGCTCTTCAGTGCTATAACAAAAAGAAATGACAGGAGTGGAGAATGATTCTAAGGGTACAGTGAATCATTTGAACTGATAGCAAAAGCTCTCTAGACTTACCTTTCCTCTACTATATTGGTGCTAGTTCTTTATCACTAGACTCTATGTGCAGTTACCTGTATTTGCTTTAACTCTAGTGGGCTTTATTTTCATTTTTTCCCTCATTTTATTTAGACTTTTATTCTAGGAAGAGCTGTATTAATAGTACAACACTTTGCTAGAGGTTAGCTACTTAAAATTTCAAGGATGCTTCTTGTTTTAAGTGGTATGATTTAAAAAGGTACTCATGGAATCCATTATCTACCTGAATCTATCCCCTTTGACATTACTGCTGGCTCTCTTTGATGATATGAGTCTATCCTGACATTACTGAAAGGAATTATTCAGGCTAAATAATAGTACCTTTCTCTGATTCATTTTGTCAAATAGTATACAATCCATGTAAGCATCCTTGGGTGCTGAGAACTCTTGACTGTGGCCACAAGAAATAGTTTGACCATTTTTTAAGCACTCCTAGTTGTAGTTGAGGAATTTATAAATTAAGGAAAAGATCTGTTTAGGGACAAGTGACAGATAATGTTGTGTTTTTAATGTATTGTTACAAATCAAGAACCTTCTAACTTTTGCTTCTTCATTGGAAACCATTCATGTACAGGTTTCTAACACCAAAGAGCAGAAAACTTAAGAAAGGAATTGTTCAAAATAGTTTACCTTCATACACTTGAAGTAAGAAGAATATATCCTGAAGTGCTTACACTGTCAAAATGTATGTGCGCGCGCATGAGTGTGTACTTTGTTGTTGTTTTTTTTTTTAACATTTATTGTGTGTGTGTGTGTGTGGGTGTGTGTGGCCAGCTCAGCCCACCAGGGTGCGGGGCTGGCCGGCATGTGGTGCTGGGGGATTGAACCGTGGTCCCTGTGCTTTGCCAAACTTGTTCCAAGTAGGTGCTTTAGACCACCGAGCCATCTCGCCAGCCCCATGAATGTGTACTTTGTAAAAACATCTTGGTGTATATGCTGAATATAAAGGTTATATGGAATATTCTTCAAACATCATTTCAATATTGTTAGTAGACATGGTAAGGTAGTAATATTTGCTTTTTATAATGTAGTCTTTTTTTTTTTTCCAGAACCGGGGGTTGAACTCAGGCCCTTGTGCTTGCCAGGGAAGTGCTTATTCCACTGAGCCATCTCCCTGGCCCCTATAATATAGTCTTAAGAACTTAGGAATGTAAATCTTTTCTGTTTTAAAAAGCTTCAAAGTCCACTAAGGATAGCCTTAAAGTAAATAAATCCTTTGATGAAGAGTTTAGGTATTATCTTAGAAATCAGAATTTTCAGTTATCAAAATTTTAAAAATTGTATGTACTTTGCCTTTTCTTCAGGGGTCACAAAGTAGTAGCCAAATGGCAAAAAATACCTGCAAAGGTGTTTTTTTGGGCAGCACAGTATTTTTAAAATTTTGAATTTGTGTATGTCTTTAGGCAGAATATTGTCTAGCTCACCCACACTAGTCCTTATTGCTGTGCACTAGCCATTTAACATGCCATGTAGTTATTCTGGTCTCTATGGATGGTATTGATTTACATTCTTACAATGTTTTGGCCTCCTCAGGAAGATAAACAAAACCAGTAGAGATTCTGTACAACAATGATGAGGGTTACCTTTTTAGTTATTTTAGAGCTTAGCCTTTCAAATATTCTTGAGTCGGGGCTGGAGAGATGGCTCAGTGGTCTAAAGCACCTACTTGAAACAAGCTTGGCAAAGCACAGGGACCGCGGTTCGATCCCCCAGCACCACATGC